GCAGCTTCTAACCTAGCCTAGCCTAAAAGCACGCGCGAGATATAAAAAAGAGCGCTAAGGGACAAACAGCAAGCAGCCGGCGATTAACAATTTCAAATTTATTTATATTTAAAATTTTTTTGTGAATAACCGGTTCAATACCTAAGTCTCANGCCGGCGATTAACAATTTCAAATTTATTTATATTTAAAATTTTTTTGTGAATAACCGGTTCAATACCTAAGTCTCAATCTCTTCCGGGCTTAAATGCTTGATTTTTAAAGCAAATATGTAGATATCTTTATCTACTTTACGTATGTCTATGAACGTTTATAGTATGTATGTACCTGCATATGGATAGAGACACACCAATACAGCCCAACACGTTATCGCAAAAGCGCAAATTTCAAAAATATTTTTTATATTTTTCAAAGAGTTGGAGGTGGCAGGCAGGGTGAGCACTATTAAAATCATCGAAGTAGTTTCAGCAAAAAAGGCAAAGCACAAATTCGAGTGCATAAATTAAATTCCAAAGCCATTTAATTTACTTTCGATTTCATTCAAAAATAGAGCTTTTAAGTACTTTGATAACACTCACATACATATGTATGTGCAAACTTTTTTCATACATATAGTAATTTGCGAATGTATGTATGAAAGTATTATAGAACATTTTCGATGAGGAAATGTACTGTATTGGACATAATTGTTTCACATTTTTAATTTCATTTTACGTGTAGGGCGAATGCAGAATACATACATACATATATTTAATATAACATATATTTTAAATTGTATATAAGTACTTTAGTTCTGTTGGGCCTTGAGATCACGTTAATATGTACAGTTTTCAACTGACGGTAAAAAACAATATGAAAAATAAAATATATTTTGTTAACATTTCAATATTGCTGACTGCTTGGCTTCCGCGTTTTTACGTAGCGTTGAAGTTAAAAGCGATTTCTTTGAAATGCCCTTCTGTCTGAAAAAAATAAATAAAACTTCAAAAGAAATACACTCTCAACTCTAAGTACATAGTTTTTTTTTAAGTTATTACCCGCAAAACCTAACTTAGAATATTTTACGCTTTTACAACAACTAAACACCTATTAATTTCAAGCAAATGCATATATATAACTTTATGTTACTCTGAGGCATGCAGCTGCGAGAACTCATATGATGCAACTATTTTTCATGGCGATCTAAAAATTTTAATGCCTTGCAACTGTAAATGTCATTTTAGGTTAACAAGTGCAGCAGCCTTTGTCATACTCCCATACATATGTATATGTAGGTATGTATGTTGAGCTAATTGAATTTAATCAACGCTACTTACTTCAGAATAGGAGCTGTATAACTCTCATGCATTCCACACACAAACGCACAAAGCGCTTCTTTAATTAAAGACAATAAAGAATGTACTGCCGTCACCCAAATGAATAATTGTGTGCATGAAAGAGCAAACAATTGAATTATTTCATGTTGTTGTTGTGGTTGTTGTAACAGCATACGAATACCCCTAATAGTTTTTGGGAGTGTTGCTGCAGTGACAGTCCTTGGCCAGGGTCCGATAAATCTTTTCTTAAGATATGGGGTCTAAGTGCAAAGTCCAGCAAATTTAAATTTTTTATCAACGGAATAATAATAGATTAGCGCTTACACATATGTCAGTGTTTGGCCGAGCTTCTCCTTCCATTTGTGGTGTGCGTCTTGATGAGAAACTGTTTTTCATGGCAGAAATACACTCGGAGGTTTGCCATTGCCTGCCGAGGGGCGACCGCTGTTAAGAAAAAAACCTTTTCAACAGAATAGCCATGGTATAATTTTGAAAGAGGACATAATACTGACCGTCTTCGCAGAAGAATCTCAAACGCCAGCACGTTGGACTACAAATATCTTTGATTTCTCCCAGAAAAATATTCTTAATCAAAAATTAGGAGAAGGTGCGAACAAAAAAACTTCCACAACATAACATAGAAAGACCTTAACGCTAAAAACCTATTGGATTTTAAAAATAACTATTGCAGCATAGAATTAGTTACATTCTTCAATAAAACCCGCCTTTTTAAGAAACTTGCGGCAAATGGACTGAGTTTCTATGGACTTTTTTCATCACTCCATGCTGGACTATACCTTCGTTCAGCGAAAATGATCAGCATGATGCCCCTTTCAAAAATATACCGTAGTAATTCTGATGCAAAAACGCCGAAGTACAGTATAATTAAAGTAACACACAAAAATGCCTAACCTATCTTTTTAAGGTAGTTTTAAAAGTCATCCCAACGTTCTCTGCTGCTGATATAGAGACATTTTCGTACACCTACTCGAAATAAGCTGTTGTTCGAATTGAAATTGTAAATTGTTCACTACTTACTCGCTTTCACCGTTATTCAACTTAAGAAGGTATTGTGCACGTGCTTCATCATGACATTTCTTCTTCAAATCAATTATTTTTTGACGCTCATGCTCAATCACGTGATGACCTGAAATTAATTAAATTCATAAGTTGGGAACAATGTAAGTCAACTTTATAACTTCAATTGAATGTACCTTGTTGTGCCAGCAGCAGTTGCCGATTGCGTTCTATTTCTTTAATGCTATCAAATATTCTCGTACTGGCGCCTTTTGTTGAAATGGGTGCGCTACTCGTCACTTTACATATGCGATCAATATCGTCCTGCGATGGCACACGACGTTCCAGTGGATTTACTTCGAAATCATCATTACCCAGCGAAAGGTTAAATTTAACCCGTTCACTATGTTGACCATCATTCTGTGTATCGCTTTTGTCAAATTGCACGGGGTCTGTATCAGCACATTCGGTGGTATGCCGTGCGTCAAGACTTTTACATGGCAAATCGGCATCATCAATATCAACGACATACAGCTGCTTACGTTTAGGAGTGCTTGTGACTGGCGCTTGAGCCGGCAGTTCAATTTTATTGTTGAAAAACATATTCTCATTTACACTTTTAGACATTATATCCGCACTACTACGCTTGGGACATAGCAGTTCGGCAGAACCAAAGAGCGATTGGGACATAACACCCGCTGCCAGGTTGTTGTGCAGCATAGGCGAGCTCGAAGATGCCGTGCTGACGTCCTCTTCGGATGTGTCCACTTTCAATTCGCCGGTTATGTCACAAATGCTGCTCTCAATCGCAGTTAGGCGCTCTTGCTCCATTTTTAGTAAATTACATGCATTCACTAACTTTGACTTTAAGGTTTTGGCGTGCATTGAAGGGTTGCCCAAATCCTGGCCCTCCAGATGCTGTAACTCAATGCGTTTCTCCTTTATTTTCGCGGACAAATTCGCTTCTTCGTTGTGTAACTCCTCGCGATATGCATGCCATTCAGATTCTTCTTCCAAATACTGGAATTCTAAATCCTCAAATGTTTTACGATCATTTTCCAGCGATTCGCTCACATTATGGAGTTCTTCTTTTAGACAGTCATTACTCGGTTTCTGCTGCAACATCGACTTTAATCTGTTAATCGAGAACAAAAAAAATTTAGAACAACTTTATATACTCGAATTGAATTTCATCATACTCACTTCTTCGCTTGATCCTGCTTCATTTCAATTGACTGCTTTAGTTTTGCCTGCTGATTTTCCTCCATGACGCGCGTGGCATTACGCTGCGCTTCAAAGCGATGGATTTTGTTCTGCAAGAGCTCAAGCTGCGTCTCCAACTCACCAACAGAATCACCGACGGAGTGTACTTCGGCAGTAACCAGCGCCTTTTCCATATCCAACTGTAAACGTAGCAAAAGATTAAACTAACACTTTAACGCAACACAATTTCGAATTCTTACCTCCCTCAGTTCTTCTGCCTCCATCTTTTGTAGCTCCGAGATTTCATTCTTCAATTCCTGTACTCGCATTAAGAGCTGCTTTCTGGTTTGTTTAAGTTTTTCAATGTCTTCACAGTCACCCAAAATCGGTTTTAATTCAGCAGCCGCGGCTGTTTTCGGCAGAGAAATGCCATTATCAGTAAAATTCGAACTTTTTGTAGCGCCAGCGTTGTTAAAGCTCATCAAAGCTGTTTTTGAGAACATTCGCGGTGCTGGTGCCGGCTTCTTTTGCAGCCTGGGCGAATTTTGCAATGAATTCGATTCGTGCAAGTTTAGCGTGAGATTGTTAATATTTTTATTTGTACGCTTCGCTGGCGAATGATCAGCTGATACCGACGCGGTTTTAACAGCACTCCTCGGCTGATAACGGCAGCTCTCCTCTATGGCTTGCATTTCTAATTTGAGTTTCTCCTCAAAAGTCTTTATCAGCTGCTCGTATTCACTCTGTTTGGGTGGCTTGGGTGCCACTGGTGGTGGTACGGCAGCGATGGGTGCTTGACCGTATGCATTGCTAAACGAATGGTCCTTTTTTGGCGACATACAAGTCGTGCGAATTTTTGTACGCGGACTTTGGGGTACATACTTGCCCATAACCACATTTTCATAACCTGTTTTTGGTGAACTAGGGCCTTGAGTTTGACCACCGATTTCCACCCGGTTCTGGCCAACCAATCGCACATTTTCATAACCAGTAGAACTGGAAATTGAACCGTTATGTGCCTTGGTGTTGAGATTGCCGCTGCTGCCTGAGAACGATTGCTGAAGCTGCGAGCCGGATAGGTCGTGGTAGAAAGGTGACTTCTTGTCGCGTGGCAGTGACCCGTTTGTTTTGATTCGGTTTTGAACAATAGGTGAAGAGGTGAGGGACGCGGCACAACTTTGATTTTGGCGATCGGAATATTCAGTACATATCTTCAGCATGTCTTCAAGGCGTTCATTCTCTGAGCTACTTAAGCTGGACAGATTTCTTCGCTGCATGCTGGGCGAACTCTCGTATTGCAAACGATGCAGCGGCGACGAATTCGCTGAGCTGCTATTAATTTCGGTATTCAATCCGTTCATAGGATAGATTTGAAGACCTCCATAGGTACCTGGTTTTGGGTAACGGTCATAGGCTGGCACATTGTGGTGATGAACACCGCTCGCGCTTCGCAGCGGCGTCGTATTATTCACCTTTGCCAAGAACTCTCCACTCCCATTTAAGTTGGTGCTTGTGTTCTGTATGAAATTCGATGTGCTCGGAACATTGACATAATTTCCTGTTCCATTCTGACCATTTCCCTTTAAGCTATTATTCAACTGATTGTTCCGCACGGGAGAGGAGTTCTTATCGTTGCGATGATTTTCAGCTAAATTTTTTGCGAAGTTGGCGTATTTTTGACCCAGCACATCCTTTGCTGGCATATTCACAGTCACCAGGTCGGCGGTGAATACCTTAGGGCAGTGTAGTCCGTTTATATCGATTGGTGCTGTTGCGACGTTGTTATACAAAGATTTACTGCTACCAAAAATACTCTTCGTGCATTCTCTACCCATTGACATTGGCATCTGTGCATTTGTTATTGGACTGATATGTTCTTCATAAAATGAATTGATGGCTAATGATTGGCGGGCATCTGCACTGCCGCTGCTCGAGCTCAGGCTCTTGGTCGAGTCCCGTCGTGGCACTTGCGTGAAGTCTATCTGTGGCATGGAAATGCGTTCATTCGAACCCATAGCAGAGCGCATCATCTGAGCTTCGGCTGGATTATTGAAACGTAAATAATTTGAATTTCCAATAGTGATCATGGCACCCTGAGTCAAATTGGTCTCATGTGTGATCTTCGTACCATCAATTAGTATGCGAGCATCATGCTCTGGTACGATGGTCACTTCGTTCTCCTCGCTGCGATAGATGGTGCAATGAATCGGTCGAACGCCGCTGCCATTCAAAGATATGCTGCAACTGGAGGCTGAGCCAATAGTCATATCACCTGGAATATGCAAAAGTTTGCAAAAACTACATAAATTTCATGTTGAAAAAGTGTAATTAAATCTTGAAATAGAAATATTCTTAATTGAAATAAATGTGAGCAAGCCGGTGTCTAATGCTTATAAATTTCGTGCGCAATGCCCTCTCGACCTTGATGTTAGGCGGGTCTTCGATGAAACCGATTTGTCAAAAATGATGAAACGACCTTCGCAGCAACTGCGTTAGAAGTGAAGTCATAAATCTGTGCATAC